ATTCCATCGAGGTGGGTTCGGAAATTGAGTCCTCTTCAAAAACTTAATCTCCTACTGGATAGTGCTGGGTATGCAATAAATAACTTCCAAGATCGTTCTTCAGCGGAATATGAAAAAGACGGTGATTTTGAAAAGAAACCGTCGCGAAAACCGAGTCATTTTTGCAAGGGAATTCTGACCAAGCCAACCGGAGCAGGATCCATTTTCGGCCTGTTCTGTTTTACTTCTTATCTGCTTTACCTTCGAGTTTTTCCTCGCTAATAAAAGCATTACTCCAGGACGGAACCATCTGGAGCGAAACGCGTTAAAAGAATGGCAGAAAAGAAGTAAAACAGAACAGGCCGAAAATGGATCCTGCTCCGGTTGGCTTGGTCAGATTCCCCTTGCAAAAATGACTCGGTTTTCGCGACGGTTTCTTTTCAAAATCACCGTCCTTTTCATATTCAGCTGAGAACGATCTTGGAAGTTGTTTATTGCATTCCCAGCACTATCCAGTAGGAGATTAAGTTCTAAAGAAGACTCAATTTCCGAACCCGCCTTGGTGAAATTTGGTGCTGTTCTCATAATGTCGCGTTTATCTTAATCAAAAAGCAAAGAATAACGTCCGGAGCCCTTCTAAGTTCCATTTTCCTACAGGATTCAAAAAGAAATTGCTAATCATTCCGTAGTTTCGACGAAATTCTCGCGCAATGTGACCACCTGGCGCTTAATTTTTCTTTTTTTGTGACGATTTCCCCTTTTTCAAAGTCCAATAGTTGCTTTCCTTTCCTGATAACCTAAGAAAGAACAATTGAGACTGCCAATCAGTTTCATCGATCAGAAATGAAATGCAACGAAGAAACACGGGGTGGCTGTATCATTTGGAGACGATGGAAAAGCGACCCTTTCTGGAAAAATTAGGATAAAATTTTTTCGCATTTTCAACCTGGAATTTTGTGTTGATTTTCGAATTCGCGACCAAATTTGACACAGTTTTCCTGTTGGACATTTTTCCAGAAACTTTGTGGAATTCGAGATTTTGAACAATTTCTAGGTGGCTGTATAATTAGGAGACGCACTGTATTTGTAGGCAAGAGGAAAGGCTTGGACGTGTAATGGGGCACATAATTTTTCGCTACCCTGTATATCCTTATAAGAACGCACCATGAGAAAATGGCCAACATATTCACATGCATCGGGTCACGGACCAACATTGGGTCACACAATTAATGATGAGCGTTTTGCCACGCTTTCACTTTTTCAAAAATATTCCATTCAAATTTCAAGGTCGGTTCACGATGTACATGCTTTGTAATATAGAAATGTTCGGCTTTCCTACTGGAACACTTCAGGACCTCTCATGAAAAACTCTCACTGGTTCAGAAATAGACTTCGGTTTCTGTTCTGACCTCTTCTACAGGAGGCATCATCTTCCAGATCGAGTAATTCTCCGTGCTACAAAGGTAGGTGGTATTGGATTACTCAGTGGGCGGCGAATTTTTGATAGGGTTCGATTTGCATTCAAAGTCGTTCAACCATTTTGGAGTCAACATCGCTCAACGTGGCAAAAAAAGAAGGAAAAATTGATGGTGCTTACTGACACAACCTACAGGCTTTTTCAGGGAACTGGAGATGCCTGGCTCTAGAATTGCCGCTAATGGAGGAAAGACCATCATATGGATTCCTTTCTGAATCAGACTGAATACAGTTGCTTGACCATGGCAAAGCTCACCAGCGGCGCGGCCGCGTTCGTAAAACCATTCTGACAGCAAGCCGGTGGCGAGGGAACGAGTGAATCGACGTTGTCTCCAATGCTTTGATTTAGCATGTACTGCGAGCATTTATCGCCTCATGTTCACACTGTAATGAGTATTGGCGAAGGTAAGAAAATCGAAAAACGGACTCATGCGAATCAACATCAGCTTGATCGTGCGCTCTTGAAGGAAACATTCGCGGAAAATTCTTGCATTCTTTTACAGCTGAATTTGTCAGTTATGATCACTACATAAAGGATAAAGGATAAAGCATTTGCCGTTGATCAATCCCTTTTTGGGATGCGGCACGCATTCTACTTCCATTTGTACATTCGTAGTGGCGTTTGAATGCGATGTGGCCTATACAATGACTTGCGGGGGCCAGCCGATGTACAAGTCAGTGTTTTTATCCTCCCAGACAAGTCTGGTACCAATTAACCGACCCCGGAGGGATGGAAGGCTTGGTTGGCCCGGGCGACTCACGACCCAGGATTTGATCCCCGGACCGCTCGCGTGGTAAGCGTGCCACTTGCCACTACACCACTTCCGCCCTTGATCACTACATGCAACACAAAAAGTTACACGCACGAAGACTGGAGAGAAAGAGAAACAAATTCACAAAAACACTCTATGGACAATCGAAGGTAAGAGGCGCGGAGCCAAAGGCGGGGCATGGAAAGAAGTGCGCCTTGGGGCGGCTACGTATCAGGCGACGCAATGAAAGAATCGGGTTAAAGCGTGCGATTTTGGAGAATAGAGACAAAACAATCGATAGAATATGATGCAGTAGAAGTGTGAGATGTCAGTGCAATAAGTCAAAAGGTCAAAAAGAGTTTCTAGTGACAGCACTCCGTGAACCAAGTGGAAGCGTTCCCGTCGCCAGCATTTGTGACAGATGTCCGGCGGGAATTTGAACGCGTAGCAGTCCTTCCGGTTTTTCGGGTTGTTTACCGAAACAAGTGCAATTTTTTGTTCTTTTCGTTCTTATCGTGTACAATGATCTGTGGTTGAGATAGAATCTTGATTTTTAAAATGGGGGATTCGTTTGTGGGTTTGCACATAAGGGTGTTGACTTCATTTATTTCATTACATTTGTTTCAGCCTACGTACCATTGATTAGTAAAATGCAAACAACCTCGTCACGAATAAGTGTCCACATTCGGTTTTCAATGAATCTCTTCATTTCTTCTCAGCACAGATGTTGGATAGTTCAGCTTGCAACCGAGATTGCTAGTATCACTTTATTCGGCTCATTTCGAAATTTTTCCTTACCTTATTCGGAGCTTGGAACGACGAAAGGCGTCTCAGAATCTACCGGTCCAAACACTATTTTAACCTACAGAAGTCACTTGACAGGAACGTAGGCTACTAAGACGATGCTCCTTGTCACTCCTAGCTGGTATAATGCAGCTTGAATAGCGGAGCTCCGAGACATCTTGCTTAGGGAACTTTCTAAAGATTGATCTCGTTTATCAGGCCCTCAAAAGGCCACAGGGGATCAAACGAGCCGCTGAGCCCTTGCAACCTACCCACGGCTTCTTAAAGATACTGCAGTAGCCCCTACCCCGTCGAAAGGGTCCCGCGGATCCTCCATGTAGGTGAATAGCCACCACATCCGTAAAGGGTGCTAACTCTGTAGCAATCGCCACACACTCTTCCCTTCTAATGATTTTAGGGGTCCTAGCCGTGAAGCGGAAGTCCTTCCAAGATGCATCAAGCAGGAGTGTCGGATTTACATGATAGTATCGTGAAATCCACTTTCAAGCCTGTGTCTTAGTGATATCGCACTCTACGCTACCCTAGGAGGAAGTGTTGGACATTTGCATACCATCTAGCTGTTCCTTTATCCAGATACAAAGAGGTAGGCCTGTTTCCCTCAACATGCTCCTCTTTACACTGAGCCGTCCTCAATCTTTAGCAGCGCTGCCTCTTCCTTTCGTCGCTCTTGCCGCAGCTGTGACGTCATCAGCACGCGCTCGCGTCCGCGCCGCGGGTAAGCTTTTGCCACCCTACCTTTCCCCGGTCGCCTGCTTTTGTCGCAATATTCGAAGGCACTATATGTAGAAAACTTTCCTTACCTTTTTATGACTCAGCACTTCGCTTCATATATCAGGAGCGAAAAGTAGTAGAATAAAATATGCTACTAGCCGACATCGTGAACCATCAAAGCTGGAAGTCTCGGCAGATACGAATCGACAATCCACTTCTCCTCATTACGTTGCATACTGCTTATCAGTCTTCATCGATTATTTCGGCTACTGCGTAAGTATGTACGGATGCTAATCTCAAAAAAACTATCATCTCCTTACAAACGACCTTCAATGAGATTTGAATTTGTCGCATTGTTATAAACTCATACTCGATGATTTCAGCTGAAAATTGAGGAATTCATTCGAATCTACTGGGAACGTTCATATGAGCCCTAGAAGAGTGTGCTACGGTAACGGTGCGAGAACTCTTGGTCAAAGCCTTTTTGAGGTTCACAGCAGCACTCCGTGCTAGTGAAAATTTGCTGTTATT